CCCCAAAATGTTTAACTCCCCCACCCCCACGTTTACGCGCCTATAAACGTAAATACGCGTCCGGTGCCCCAGCGCGCAAAAATGACAATTGCGCTACACATGTTACATATCGCCGCGAACGTCGCAGTGAGAGCAATCATTTTAGGGCCATCAATCACTGATAACACTAAACTGATGAGCGGTAACAGCTTTTAAAGCGTCGCCTATGGCCAATTTTGGGTATTATCGTTTTTTGAGGTTGCGCGCACGCAATTTTAAGGCTTGACATGTTAGGTGTCTTTTTATCCGACGTGACCCCGTCTTTTATATTTTATCAAAAAATTGGGTAATAATAAATGTTTTATCATTTAATATAGGGGAAACTGGGTTTTTTTTTTTAATTTCGGTAATTTTTCCTTAATATAGTAAAAAATAAAAACCCCAGTGGTAAAAAAATACCACCAAAAGAAAGCTCTATCTGTCCCCAAAAAAGGGTATAAAATTAATTTCAGTACAGTGTTGCATGACGGAATAAATAGAGTCGAAATTGTTCAAAGGAGAAGCTTACTCTGCCGGCAGCTGTTTCTTCTCACTTTCTGTCATGTGTATAGGACAGTAAATAAAGTGTAATTTCCCCAATAGGAGACACATATCGCAAAAAACCTGACTGGTTTTAAAAACGGATTTAGTTATTTAACTCTTGATTCATTTCAGATTTTGACAATATAAAGGCATTTTTAAAATTGAAACTACCTCCTACCTATATAACATACAGTATGTGCATGAATGTTTTAAATTCAACTTTAATGCTTGCTAGCTGGAAAATGTGCAGTTAAATGATAAATTTTACTGACCTAATAGATAAAAATTGCAAGCTTTCAAGAAAGCTCAGTCTCCTTTGCAAGCATTGTGTAGAAGAATAAAACTGATATCTCTCCAAAGCTTGCAATGTAGATCTACCCAGCCTATAAAAGGTATAATATAACTCTACATTTTCTTGGTTCTGCCAGTGGCTAACTGTCAGGATCCAGAGCACCCCCAGTTGGTGCTGGGGCCAGGTCCTGCAGTTCCTGTGCTCGCCTGTGGGTGTCTCCAGCAGCCAGGGACTGTAAGGAACCTGCACTTCCAGTACTCACCTGCGGGTGTGCCCCAGCTGTGACTGATCATCCCATCACCTGGTGCTTCCTGGGAGGGTATTTAGGCCCTACCTGCAGTCAAGAAGCTGGCTCAGTATTGCGTCGCCTGCACTTGACTGATTCCCATAAACCTGAACCCTGCTTCCTGAACCCGCAGACCTGTCACTGGCCCGGCTTGTTACCCGACCACTCTCTTGGATCCTGTACCGCGCTGCCCTCCTGTTAATGACCCGGCTTGTACCTGACCACTCTTCTTTTATCCTGAGGCCTGCCATATATCTGCAGGCTTGTTACCCCTCCTTGTTGCTTCCCCCCCTGGCTGTGGGTGTGTGTTTGTCCCAACGGTGGGTTTATTACTTCACTGCTAAACCTGTGGGGGGTTGAGGGGGTTTATAGTTTTGTTGTTGTGTAGCAAATAAACTGTGTGCATAGAACCCTATCCTGTGTGGGCATATTAATTTGGTCATCCTGCGTGGGTACCTGCATGTGGTGTGAGGACGCCTGTGCATGGTACCCTGACACTAACATGCCACAGCATTCTTCTATTTTAGTCTATAGAAAAACATTTTGCTTTTAAAAAATGATTGCCTTTTCCTATGTACAAGGTAAGATCAAAAATACGATGAATGTTTAAATAAAATTTTTTTTACAGTAAAAGACACATTGCCATTAATCCCTCTCAAAATACTCCCCCTTGCTTAGAACAAATGATCCCATTGCTCTTGCCACTTACTGAAGCAGTTCTGGAACCATTCTTTTGTAAGTGTCTTTAGTTGCGCTGTCATGGCTACCTTGATGTCCTAAATCGATTTAAAACATTTACCTTTTATGGTCATTTTTTACTTTGGTGAAGAGCCAGAAGTCGCACGTTACCAGATCAGGTGGATGGGGACACACCATAATGTTTTTATTTGACATAAATTGCCATATCATAAGTGATGTGCGACATGCAGTGTTGTCATGATTGAGGATGAAACCCATTTCTCAGGCCATTTTCTACCATAAGAGATGTTCAGATCCTCAGAAATTTCCCTAATAGTCAATGGCCTGTTTGATCGAATCATTTCACTTACTATCTCAACATTCTCTTAGGTTTTTGATGTTGCTGTTTTTTTGATTCTTCCGATCTCTCATGGTCTTCAAGCGATTCACAACCACCTGTAAACCCTTTTCATGGTCACTGCAGCATCACCATGAATGAATTTGAACATTTTGTGTGTTTCTTTGGCACTTTTTTGCAGTTTGATAAAAAATGTCATGTTAATGCGTTGTTTGTGATCCATGATGTACAGTATGTGTATGGCACACTTTAATACACACCTTCTTTCAACCATAGCTCACAGTCAGTTGACTCCACCGAACAAGTTGAAACTTGTCACACACTGTTACTAAGGTTCAATGTGCTGCTTCTCGTATTGAAGATCCCTGCCTTTCGCTTGGATGACACTGCATTTTTTGAAACACCTCATATATTTTAATTTGTAATTAAATTTTTTTGTTATTTGTTAGGGTTTAAAATTGTCATAAACCCAGTTTTCAGTTTTTTGTCATAAATTACTATTTTTGGGTAAAGAAGATAGATATACCCAACAATGTATCATATTCTTTTTTCCTTTTTTATTTTATGGAGGACAGTTGTTGAAGTTGTATTCAAAGGGCTACTAGATACAACTAACACAATAGTCATTTATTTAACTAATTTTCTTGGAAGTACCTGAAAAATATTATCTTAAACCCAATTCATTACCCCACTATTTCTTGTTCAAGATTTTTTAAATGAACCTCTGATTGTTTTTTAGCTGTGTTATCTCTGCCTAGTACACAAGGAAAACCATAGTTAGCTACAGTATATTGAATTTCTGGAACTGGGAACATCAGCATATGAGTTCATTCAGCTGGGCATGAACGCCTGTAAAATGACCCGATCCCAGAAGGGACAGGTGCTGTGTGTCATTGCGTGCAGCAGCCTGTCCATCCCTATGGGGGATGGACAGGCACACGCAGTCACATGCACACTCAAACCTGCAGGCAGACAGCATCACAATATTGCTATCTGTGACACCATGGGTTCTAATCTTTCCCTACATCATCCACAGAAAACGTTTTGGCTTTTCAAACACAAGTGTTTTTTTTTTCCTCTGTAAACATGTTTTGGATGCTAAAAAAACCTTTCACTTCATGTGCAGGGATTGAACAAAAACCTCTGAAGAATGTAAACATTTTTTATAACATTTTATAACAACAAATGCAACATTTTTAACAAACCGCAGCCCCTATCTGAAGTTATTTTTTAGCAAATGAAAATGCAAAAAGCTCTCTGTATGAAAACTACTGCAGTATAATTCATCTGCCTGGCCAGTATCCAAATTATAGCTGTGTGGTTAAATGATTATTAGAAAGCATTTACCATGTGCGTTTTCTTCCGGCAGTCCAGTAAGATCTGCGTGCAAATCTTTCCGTTAGGTGCTGTAATATACTTAACGGAAGACATTCATCACTAAAATCCCTGTCCCTATGCTGTGTTGAATGATAATAATTTTACAGTGGAAACTCTGCTTGTGTGCTACAGATTCTTATATTTTTCTATCTTCTTGAAGCCTACTCTTACATGTACAGAACAGCCCCCAACAGAGATATTGTGAAAGCTTTTTAGGCACAGTAGTATGATTCACTTTACATGTACCAAAAAGGCATAGGACACCACAGTGAAAATGGACCTTACTTGCAGCTTTCTTTGTAAAGTCATTTAAACATGTATAATTGTATGTCACCTGTTGCTCTTACCTTACAGCTGCATTGTCCAGTCTCTTCACATGAACATTTCTTTGACTCCTGATCGCAGCTCTCTGATTTACTTCCCGCCAACTCACAGTCACAGCCGATGCACTTTGGGTAATTCCTGTATCCAATTCTGCAGCTGGTACATTTGTCCCCAGAGAAGTTTGGACTGCAGAAACAGCAACCTGTGTCTGGATTACATTGTGTACTGAGCGATCCTGGAGCACCACAATCACAAGCCTATATAAAAAATAAGTACAGACCACCTTAAGTATTGTGTTTTTTTTAATTTAAGTATATTGTTATACACAAAAGTAGCACATCCAATATAACAATTACCAGCAAAGTCACGGACTAGTGCAAACAGGTTGACTGGAAGTTGTAAACTGGAGTTATAATCTGATTGTAGTGAATTTAAAGCAGAACTCAGGGCAGACTTATTCCTAAACCTTGCAATGGGGCTATTTGCTGGCTGGCCCTTAGACCAGTCCCTGGAGCCTCTCTCCCCTCCTCTGCAGTGGTCTAAGGTCCAGTAAAATTCTTCTTTAAACAGTGTATAGATGTTAAGACTGAGCAACACTCTAATGCTGCAGCATAGGGCGAGAGAAGCTTCAGTGACTGGAGAAGCAGGTAGCCGGCTTGCCAATTGGGATGCGTATAACTTTTTATTTTGTAGCACCTAGACAAAAATGAACATTTAACCCTTGCAGTACAGGGGTAGACCTACTGCAAGGGTTAAGAACATTTTTGCCTGGAGTTCTTCTTTAAAAGTTCCCATGCAGAATAGATCTTGCAGCCCAAATGGTAAGATAGGGAACAAGCCATGCAGTACTGGTAAAAAAGAACAGAAAACTGGGTTGACCGACCCAAGTGCAGTAATTTTACGTACTATAAGCTGCCAGGTTATACCTTTACTCTGCCAAAAGGAGCATTCAGCACCTTGCACCCAGTATGCCAATACTCAAGACTATCAGCAGCCTCCTTAGGTACTGAACATGGCCTTAAGCCAGGCAAGAATTTCTTCATACCTGGAAGGGTAAACTGTAAGGACCCATTTGCATGTGACTGTGCTCACATGTATGTTCACAGTACCGCAAAGGTGCTGAGAAAATGGATTCCATTATAATATATAAGGCTCTATTCATAAATTATTTGCATTACTGTATAGTGCTGTGCATTTCTGAAAATTCCTGCTTGTTGCATCTTTTGTACACTTTTGAAAAAAGGCACATTACATTATAGTCAACAGTAATGCACTTAAAATTGCAGTAGTCATCTTATTTAATGCACTTTTCATCACATGTCTATGATTTCAGGGATAAAAATGTTTTTAAAAAAATAGGGAGGAAAAGGCATGTTAATACATGCTTAATTCCTCTTGTATTGTGTTACAATTTATTGCACGGCATTAAAATGCATTCCCTTTTTTATTTAGCATTGCACTGATGTGTTTTCTAAGGCAAGTAAATGATTGGGACCTGAAGGTATACCAAGGCACCTTGTAGCTCCTGCTGTACAACTGAGTCTATAGTTCAGGTTTACTCAGGGTAATACAGGTTTACTGTAAGTTGTAATGGACCCCATCTATAAAAACATTTTTATATCAACCATTCAACTTCTCTTTTTCATGCTGTCAGTTCAGGTAAGAAAAATATACGGAAAATATTGGTGGATATGGTATTGTCCTTCTGTCAAACATATTTTTATTCATGACTCCCAACGTATTCTATCTTAAAATTACTTATTTCTATCGCTGCGTTCAATCAGACAGAAAAATACAATTCAGGTGGCTAAAACCTTTTTATTTTTACATTATTTTTTAGAAATGAAAGTATCATAGCCAATTTGACTTGTGACAATAGCAGCTGGGAATACTTCCAAGCACCAGGTCACATGTGCCAGTGAAATGCTTCTGCCAGGTCTATTTTCATGTATAGCTTCCAGGTTGGCACTCAGATAAAAAGAAGCTTCTGACAATTAAAAAAGGAAGCCTCGCTGCAAACGATTGTTCGCAGATTCACTACAATAATCACTTAAGCATTTTACATGCCTAAAGGAAAAACCCAAGGTCATTTCTATAATTTGTTTGATGTGGATTCTGAGTTCTAAAGCAATTCATATTACAAGTGCTCGGTACAGAATGGTGACAAGATGACAAAATGAGGAAGGTGAGGACTGCATAATATACAAACCATATAAATGAATAAATATTGTACATGGTATATAGTAGAAGGTGTGGAACAAAGCCTAAAGCAGTATTGTATATAAAACAGAATGGAAGGTGCAAACTAGATCATCCCTATGGTAACAAAGAACTAATGGAAAGTTATCTTGTTTTATTTATAAATTTACAGTACAGCTGAGGACAGTATTTTGCATTATATATTCTTGAGGGCATGTTGATGATGTTGCATTAAATGGCATTAAATTTAAAGCCCAGGATAAAAAATGCTTTGTGCTTTTTTTAATGAAACGCACGTGCACGTTCTAAAGCGACTGTGCGTAAGCAGCCCTACACTTTTCTCTCTGGCATACAGTTTTTTCCAAACTACCTAGCATTATTGCTATTTGTTACATACTGATATCCTCAGTATGTTGGATTAAGCTTGGAAATTTGGTGGCAGACCTTGCTTTTGTGACTTTTTTTTTCTTATGTTACTCTCAGAGATGCAACAAAAAAGATAATTAATATTACATTATGTGATCATTATATGCAATTTTTAAATAAGGTAGTGGAAGCTGGGTGGCCACAAAGACCTGCACTAATAATAACATAATAGAAGGTCTTATGGGAGTATATTATTGGAATCCTACCATTTCATGCCTATCAAATATCGAAATCAATAAAACATATATGCATAATTGTTTTTCCTCCACTCCTTCCATATAATCTGCTAATTTATTCTGGGGTTTAACATCGTTGGACAAGATTTTAAGGCAGATACACCATAAATATATAAGCTACATGCCATCTATATAGTCACTTTTTAGCATCTTAATTAAACTTTGACGTGATACTGCTTTTTAGTTTTGAATTTTTTTTCTTGGAATAGAAGTGAAGTGTGAATGACAGACCCAAGGGGGATATATATTAAGCAGTTGTCTAAGTGTATAACCCAGTCCAACAGTGACCTTTAAGTGATTCAATTTCCTATTCTAAGAGCATGTTTTTCAAGCTAGAGCACAATCTCAGGAGCCACTGAAGCTCCTTGACATTATGTATAATAATTTGAACACATGTACTGACATTTGTACTTAGAAGATCATAGACTTCTTATGTCAGTATTGTGTGTACACAATAGCATTTCTTGTGTGATTGATCGGTTGCAGCACTTCCATATTTATGGACATGAAACTAAGATATGCAGTCACATGATCAGAAAACAAATAAAGGAAGTACATGAGGTTAAAATTAAACATAATTGAAACAATTTTAAAACCATCTCAAATCAGCTTTTAGATAGGTTGCTTATACTATTGTAGTTTTGTCCTAAATGTTTCTGTAACTGAAAGAAAACTGTATTGTAAATACTAGGGATGCACTGATGCCGATACTAGATACTCATACTCACCCAAATGCTTCCGATGTCTACCTATGTGTGAGCTTAATATGTGAGTCCACAGTTAAGTAATTAGCCTAGCTGTCTAACTACTTAGCATTAACATTATGTGCACAAGTTTTCTTTGGTTTTGTTTTGGGCTCATGGATTTCTTTCAGGTGCAAGAATTTTCTCCCACTATTCAAAAACATGTGTTGGGTGTATGACTGTGCTGGGGATGTAAGCCCCTTAGATGGTAGGGGCTAATGTGAGTATAAAACCGAGTTCCAGGAAAATTTTTATTTTGCAGTGAGGAAGGATTAGAACCTATTAGTTTTTAAATGTTATCCTAATTGCTATCTGTTGTTAATATTATGCTCTGTCTTGAAAATGCCACCTGGACAGGAAATCAAGTAAATTATCCTCAATGGGGTCAAAAACAGCAATAAAACCTGACAAATGTTCTAACCCTTCCTTACAAAATTGTTTATATATCTTATGTCCTACTCAGAATGGGGTTTACATGTGGTTTTCAGTTCAGAAAAAAGAGGCATTTTAGAGAGGCCTGTCTGATGTGTTTTTAACATTGAATTAATTATATGCATATCCCATAGAGTATTGTGAGTAACACTTATGAATTGTGAATATGTGCATTCCGATGTTTCAGTTTTCTTGAAATTAAAGCCACTGTCTGAGACTCTTTTGGGTAGTAACAATTATTTACCTTCCTCCAACCAATTTATAGGCAACAGTGGAACACCTTTTTCCTGTAGAATACAATATTTAACATACTAGTCAGTCTCCACTGCACATAATTTTCATCTGGAACACTGAAAGAGTTGCAATGCCTAGTTTTCACAGGAGGCTATTCTGCAAATGAATTCTGGACATTGCAGTTTTGACTGAGAGCTACAGACAAGGAGGATGATTTACTAAAGGCATTAAGAAACTTTACACAATAAAACAAGTGTATATTCACTTCAATTGCCCAATCATGTAAAAAGCAAATGCCTGTATACTTATTTCATCTGCACACCACTAAGCATTCAAAGTGAACAGGAAGGTCTCAGTGAAATGTTGCTATATTGCTAATCTGTACTGGAGTGAAAGAGGAAGGCGGAATAACAGTGGTTTGTAAGGGTGCAATGGGCTTGAATTTGCTCCTGAATGTTATGAAAGTTCCTTTCAACTTTGTTGGATCTCTGCTTGAAAAAAACTGCCTCTCACTAGTCCCCTTATATTATATTTGTCATAGAAAAAAATAAGAATACTATGAACATTACATGATATAAAATAAACCACATTTAATACCCCAATACATTTCTCCTAAGCAGCTCAATCAGCAAAACAAATGTTCCACTTTGATGAAAATTAATTGACATAAATCCTGTATTTTCACTCAAATCACTCTGCATATCCTTCTTGCAGGGAAATTGACAGCTGTCATAAAAAAGGTGTCCCCATTGGTATATTTCCTTTCTACTCTTGTTTCTGTGACAACTATGACAAAAAAGCAGAAATCTCCTTTAACAGCTAAAATTTCAGAATAGACAGTTCACTCTAATGCTTAGTCTTGTGCATGGTGAGCTGTGAAGGCTGTTCTTGGGGGGAAAAGAGGATTTTTTCATATTAACATGTGGCCCTTTAGTCATGTCTAGCCCTCGCAAGTGCTTCAGTAACAACTCCTCAGAGAAATGAGTTGTAAACATAGCATACTATGAGCCATGGCATATTTATCATTAGTAATTTAAAAGCCAGTGTTTCCCTGGGTTATAACTGTCATGCAGATATGCAGAATTTTGTTTTCAGTTTACGAAATATCATAACGTTTGAAAGTACAAAGGCATATTAAAAGACAGATCTTATAAATAATTAAAACAAGTTCTCTGAATAAACTCTGAATAAACTAAATTATAGTTTAATTTGCTTACAAGCTCACAAACATATAGCTATTCCCACTCTCAAATAAGCCTTCTTATATTCCTAAAAAAAATTATATTATGGTTTTGGTTATGTTGGGTGTGTATAATAATATTTCTGCTCTAGCTTTTTACCAACAAGTCAGTTTTAATATACCTACTTTAAAATATTCAACATTGCTACGGATAATTTTATTGAATGTTAAAATATTTCATGCATAACAATATCAACTGAAGATAAATATAATGAAAAATAAATAAGGTTTAACATCTTGTTCAAAAGTGAACCTTCATTATTGTATTAAAGTTTAAGTCTGAATGCATACATTCCTAAGATGTGTGGCAATATTTAGCAACAGTATAAGTGTTTATAAAAGTTGTACTTTTTTAATAAAAAACAGTCCTTAAACTCTGGAAAATAACTCCACCAGTTGGAACTAAAATCCTCAACACTTACCTCCCCTCCAGCAAAGTGACATCTATGACCTCCCTTGTCACTGGTGACATTTTTGCACCATCTTCTTTCAGGGTTCACCATCACTGGCCATCTAGATTGGCTGGCCCAGGATGACACAACTGCCATGTGCATGGGAGTTACTTCATCTAGGCTCCAAGGCATGCCGATAATGTTCATTAAGCTGCCCATGCATGACTCAGTCTATTGTCTTTAGAAACTGGCTAGCAGAAAGTAAGAAGTTTTTATTGCAGAAGAGAAATACAGAGTCTCTTCTACAATAAAAATGATTCCTGGCTAGCAATTCTTTTCTACTAAAGTTCCACTATAAAGGGTACAGTCTGGGAGAAGGATTTCATTAGTCTGATGCAGGCAGAAGGAAGGATTATCTCAGTCTCTTCTCCTCCATTGATTCTCACTGTAACATTGTAATTTGGCTACAATTCACTAGGTAAGAGGCATGCTGCTGAGGGCTGACATGTGTGAGACAACATAGATACACAAAGTCCAACACAAAACGCCTACCGCATAAGCACAAAATTCCACCACATAATGGTGGGCAAACTCTGAACAAAGAGTACATGAACAAAGATGGTACTTTTTCTTCTGAGTAAAGAAGAATATGAAGGCTTTGTAAGAGGCACTACTGTGATCTCTTTGCCAGGTAATTTATAACTGCAAACATTACATTTACAAAGTATGAAAAAAATAGTCCATGCTAGATCCACCTTAAGTCTTAGCAGGCATAAGGCAACATGTTTATTAGAAGTGTTTGAATGAAAACTTAAAAACTGTTGGATTCATAAATGTGAAGTGAAAGGATCAATGCAACTAAATTTTGATTTTTCTGTTATAGATTGAGTCTAGTTATCTCAGGTACTGGATTCTTTTATGTTTTTTTTTTTATTTGGATATTATATTGCTAGGAGCCAGCAAATGTTACAAGTTCCTTTCCTACGCATCCCTCCATGGCACAGCATGGATGTTCTCATAAAAAAGGAAGGGACAGACCCTTTCTTAATTTCTGCAACAGGGTGTGCAGGCCAAGGAACTCAACTGCAGAAACCATTAGGGTAGTTTTACTTTCCAGCATACACCAAAAACCAATATACTGTATCAGTTTTAGGATGACTAATTCTTAAATCTCAACTCCATGATTCTGGCCTGAGCATCATTCAACCTAAAAGAGAACAGAACTGTATTGTAGAACAGCTGAATCTTTGTGGAACAGCATCAGAGAGGAGGTAAGTATTGCAGCAGGAGCAGTTTGTTTATACTGTAAGTTGGGCAACAGATTTTTTAAGGGGAATTTGGTCTTTACAGCTGTGCTCCAATCTGGGTTTTGCCCACAAACAACCTTTTTCTGCAGAAATATTAAAAGACCCTTTTACTTTCCTAAATATGTGGTCTTCTTCTCTGCAGAGTAGGAGGGTGCTTCTTCATATGTCTATGTCACTGCCTGGCCTGCCTGTAAATACTTCCTATTGGCTGTCCAGCAGTGGGGTAATCTCAATTCTTTAAGATTGCAGCATAATTATGTTACAACAAGGGGTCAACTCAGCATGGGCACAGACTGCAAAACTGGTTCTCTGGTCTCCAGTCCAGAAAAGGTGCCGATGTGGCACTTGTGACTATGGACGGAGTTAAAAACTGCTTTAGAAGCATTTTTTTTGCAGAATGATAGGATGGATAGAAGGGTTGGGTGAGATTTGGGGAGAGTTAGGCTTTATGCTCATAGGTATTTGTTAAATAAATATATGCACCCTTGCAAATAAATTAATGGATATTTTACTCCTCATACCTTGCTGATTCTACATCTCCAATGTCAGAAGCCCTAAAAACAAGGTTTCTGTCAGGATCATCCAGAGAAACAGAAAAGTTAAAAAGGCTATTTTTGCAAAAAGGTAATTAGGAGATGGAAATTAAAATGTACAGATCAAGAAACAAGGTACAAACTTTAGAATTTCATAATTACAACTTAACATAAATAGAAATGTTACAGTTTCGTGCCCTGTGTTGTTTTTTTAAACTTGTCTTTTTTTGAGCATGTAAAATAGGAAAAAAAATCAAACAATGCATCAGGAAGAGATCATGCTTACGTTGACCCTTCTCAAAGGCTTGCAGGTATATTAAATTGATATAGTTACAGCTGTAACTATACTCTCCATTTTCCTGACAAAACAGGGACATATGAAAGATATACTATAATAAATATGATAAGGGGGTCTCACCCTTATTTCCTGTTTATTTATTTTTTTTGTATTAGCTAAATGCAGCATTTTACAATGCTATCAGACACACATGAATATTTTATTTTGCTTACTTAAATGGCTTTGGACCGTTAAAAGGTGTTGGATTTTTGTGAAGAAAAATGTATCCTACCCATGTTCTTTAGAGTGCATATAAAAGCTACAAATAGAACGCCTTTAAAGTTGGTTGTCCAGTGCTGTGCCCTTTGTTTTCTGACATAGGCCCTATTTTGGCCTTATTGAAAACCTTGTGGTTGTTTTATTTCAGAAGCTTTTGATCTTTGCTCAAAGTCAAATAGCTTGCATGCAGCACCGACATTTAGTACCAGTATATACTGACAAGCACATTCCCCACATGATTTTATACCCTATGATCAGACTCCACTCAGCTCTGCCTATTACATAGCAAATGCAGAATTAACAGGTGTATATCAAGCACCTGTGTACAGAAGCCCTAATAAATAGATCAGAAATGTTTCTTCACTACCATAACAAAAGATACTAACAAGCTGTGGTCAGGGTACTATCTTGAGTCATCAAAGTTATTGGGTTCATTAACGGAATTAGACTGTCACTTTGAAGTTGTGTCAGATCCTAGTGATCTTTCACAATGGTTTGACAAGTAAAATGATGCAGAGCAAGCACATGTTACATTTCATACTGCCAAGCAGTATACATATGATATATTGTTTGCTTCAAGTTAACTGTTTGCTTTGCTGTATTTGTTAAAGTCAATACCTTTTTCTACAGGAAGAATAAACACACATTTCAAATGCCAGTTAAATAATTACCAGAATGTATTGCTCAAAAAACGTATTATCTATTTTGACATGATATAGACAAAGGGCAACATATTAGTTAATAATATATAATAATAATATATTCAAAATAGAAAGAACAATACAGTACACAGGGTATCAGTCAGTTTCACCACAAAGAGATATTAAAACAGAAGATACACACCAATTGTCACATCAAATCCGCAGCTGGGAGAATACTAATCAATACTGTAATTGACAATCATACCTTGACGCTTGTGAGTAAATAATAACTGTCTGGCCATTATTTATCCTACTGAGAATCTATTGATTGACTGACCTTGCATCCAGTGATAATGCTGAATCCCCAGTGGTTTGGTGCACATTTCTCACATTGCTCTCCAATGGTGTTGGGAGGACAAACACATTGACCTGTTTCCTCATCACAGTTATTCCCAACATGTGGGCAACCACAAGCTAAATGGAGACAACGCGCTCATGTTAGGCACAGCAAGATTAAAACATTGACAAATATTGGTGACATAAAACGGTTATATCTGCTGCTTGCAGCATGGTTGTCATTAGATAAACATACATCATCCCATTTGAAGTTTTTTTTTAACATTAGGGCATAACTACTACTACACTATTAAGTGTCAGTTGGTGGTAATTAAAATATCTAGAACAAGAAATGAAATGATCCATAAAAAAATGCTTAAATGTAAAAATGAGAAACACCCCCTTTAACTGAAAACACATTATTGCATGCAACTTGTAAAATGTATAATCAATCCAGAAATGTAATTCCTCATATTGTTATTGTGTTACAAAGACAGAACGACTAGGGGTTTATTTAATATTACATTATATCATATATAAAAAAAATATATAAAAGAACAGTTTTGTTCCTTGGAGAAGAAAAGGAAATTAAGAACCTGACAGACCCATATGGACAAAATAGACATTTTCTTTTAATGTGTATCTATAGCCAAAACTTTTTTTCATTTTAGTTTTGGGTAGAGCATGGAAAGATTAAAATGCCTGTCATGTTTTACTGCTGTGGGGGCTCTATTGGAGAAATTCCTTCACTTCTCTGTTAAAAAGGTTGTCCGTTGGACAAGAAGTGGGGAGAAATCTGTCTAATAGTAACACAGGCATAAGTAATTTTTTTTGTTAAAAGTTTTAAGTTAAGCATGTGATTGCTAGAACCTCTTTTTCTGTTTCCCTGTTGCAGATTTTCCCTAACTTCCTGTCTATTAAAACATTGTCCCTAGAACAGAAAGCGAAGGAAAATCTCTGTACTGGAGTCCCAGATAACAGTAAAACTGGACAGGAGTCCTAACTTTTCCCCATTCTATCCAAAACTAAAAAAACAAAAACACTTTTGATATATATAGACTTTAGGTCAATGATGAGATTGATAAAAACAAACCAAAATGTGTTTGTTTTTATAACTAACCAATACAAAACAGCTTTTTGGCATTTACTGCAACTAGTTGAATTAAGGCCAATTATTGGTTGTTATAGTTTACTGCAGGCAAATACTCTTTGCATCAAGGTATTTAGACCTGTAAGGTAGATGTTCCAAAGATGTTTATAGATGTAACTGCTTCTCTTGTGTATGCTGACCATTATTGCTGAAATAGTGATTTTGTTAAAAAATAAATTGAAATGTATCCAATTTTTAATTGTCACATTTTTCAGTTCAGATTGCAACACTCCACCCCTTAATCTCCATAGTAGTAACACAAACGTTTGTATTTTTTGTCCTGACTCTAAACCATGTGATTACAATATGACCTGTGGACAAGCCATTAAAATCTTCATATAAGGTATTATTTAAAGCCCAACTAAGCCTTTGGATTAAATCAACTAAACACATTCAAATTGCATAAAAAAGGGTATATAGAGTCTTACAATTATTTAGAAAGCAGTTAAAGCCTAAGTAGAAAAGCCTGTCCCCTGCCAACATTCTGTTGAAAAGGACCCTTGCTTACTGTGTGGAAATAGTAGTCTCTCTTGCCTTACTCAGCAGGGGGCATGTTGACCACTGCTTACACTGAGAGCAAGGTTCATTCTCTAGAACATGCTGGTGGGGGACAGGTTTTTCTACTCTAGGCTGCAACTGCTTTCTAAACAAAACACATTCTAAGACTTTGCAGACCTTTTCTGATGTACATGGAATATATTTAGCTGATTTAAACTGAAAGTTCAATTCCCCTTTAACAGAAAGTATACTTACGGGTACATCCACCTTCTTGAAAATCATAAAACCCACGGGCACAACGATCACATTTATCTCCAGCTACTCCAGGCTGACAACGACATTGTCCACTTTCATTACAGTCAAAAGATTTGGAACCAAAAGAGTTGCAGTTACAAGGAACACATCCTTGAGAGAAAACAGGACCATATGTTTGTGGCTGAAATGGGAGCAGAAAACAAAAGTAAACTATGTATATATTTAATACAATATAAAAAAGACAATCCAACAGATATTGACAAAAAATAATATACCGAAAAGGGTTGCCACACACAAGCAACTAATTATTTCATACTTAACAAGAGGACCACCAAGTCCCTAGAATCTAACAACAGTGCCAGAAACTACTAAAGTGAGGTATAGGGGTTGATTTACTAACCTTATAAACACACCACGAACATGTATACACCTCTGTAGTGTGTTCCCTCCCAGCATGATCTATGGGTGGAATCTAAACACCTTTGTAGTGTGTACACACCCAGCAGGTGTGTTGTGCAAAGCCAAGCATGAATTGCAAGGTGATGTTGTGTAAATTAGCTCTATGTTGTGTTGCTTGCATTGATGAATGCAGGAATGTAAATGCATGAGCTAACCATTTTTGTCTAAACTGTGAAGCAGCATTATATATGCATCATGTGCATGATTTTTTCCATATATGGCATTAGTGGAGATATGCTTTTAGAGACTTTTTGGTTGATAAATAAGTTTTTCTGTGTGAAAATCACACGCACCTGGTGCGTGCATGTGTTTAGGTTAGTAAATCACCCCCATAGAGTCTCACTATAGTAGTAACAAAGACACAATTTAAACCATTAGGAAGTGTGGTTTTTAAAACAATGATCGCATGCCACTATCCACTCTCACTAGAATACTACTCCACACTGTGCATGCATTGTACGGTCATTTATAAAATGCAGACAAAAAAAAACACTCCAGGTCCTCCTCCTATCAGCTCTTTTCCCCCATGATTACAATGAAGCAGTGGGAACATTTTAATGAACAACAATTTACCAACAGATTTTTTTTGTATTGAAAAGCATAGCTATTGCCAAATTAAGCCCACACTGCTACTATATAAATGGGCCCTGAAATTACAAGCACAATATATTACAAATAAATGCTGTAACTGGTATAGAGAGGTGCAACTGATCCTTGACCTGTAAAGCTGAATAGGATACAAAATGCTAGACATAGTCTGTAAAAGTATTAAATTATTGGAGCATCACAGATTATTGCTGTAATTAGAAATACTTTTTAAATTTTTATGTGATCGAGAGCTTTTAAAAACCTTCCCAAGCACAGGATCACAAAGGAAGTATGCTTTCATGTAAAATAAGCTTTGCAACTAATTATGTCACATCTTGGTTCTCCTGTAAGTACAAAAATAGTTCTTACAGTTGTGCTAATTCATACTCAAAAAACATATTAAATGCTATTCATTGATACACCTTTGCACCACATCTGCTTATTTCATAAAATTGTATCTATCCATGCAGTAGAACTTTAAATATTACAATTACAAGTTAGGAAATAGTGCAAATATGAGGATGTCATTAACAACACTATTAACTATTAGATATTTCACCCTTTGTAATGTATTTCAGTTATTAATCAGCAACTTGTCGTGCACTGGTAGTGAACTCCACGCCATGCAGAATAAGCCTGCAAAGCAGTTACCGGAATGGCTGGTTTGTAAGCCCCTCTAGGACAGCCTCTTGATGTGGGGTAGTTCCGTCTCTGAGCAGGCGCTTGGATGTTTTGAGATTTCTGAGGCAGTTCTTTCCTCTCATAACCCTGCCTTTTAAACTCACAGCGCTTCCCAAAGAACTCTGGTTTACAGATACACCTCCCTGTTATGTCACAGCGTTGGGACATTGAACCACTGGCACTACAGCTACAGGACTGACATATCTGCTTCTCAGAATCCCACCAACAGTTTGGCTTTTAAAATGAAAGCAAAGAAGAATAGAAGGAAAGTGTAAGAAACAACAAAAAGATACAACAGGATTGGAAAGCAAGAGAAATGGTTAAGCTACTAAGATTTGACATTCAAGCAAGATAATACTGAGAGACAGAACACAATTTCTTTGTGAAAAATACAGCAGATGACATTTAGCAATTCATATTTCATGCTTTGTCTGAGATACATCACACAACACATTATAATTGTAATTAAATGATAAATTATTCTAGATGAGTGCTGATACATTATTTGTTCACACAACTTTCAAATGAAACACTGAAATAGTGAGAAATAGGAAAAGCAAAAACAATATTTAAGTCATTATGAAATTAAAAAGATATATGGACCATTAGGCTGTACTAAAAAATACATTAAATACAATTACAATGTGAATAAAGTGTCAAAAATAACAAATCTAAGCAAGCAAATGTATGGTTGATAGCTTTCAGCAAATGTGATGATTTTGAAAAAGAGTAGACTGAAAATGAACAAACAGTGGATTTAAAAATAAACCTATGAGCACAGAAAAATGTCCAACGTTGTTATTTGGCTTTGGCTTTGAATGTGCTGTCTAGCTATGATTAGGCCAGATGAGGCTGAAACCTCTGTGATCACCTTTAAAGGAAAACTGTTATGACAGCAACCTAGCTTTTATATTCATGCTCAAGCCTGAATACTCTGCCTGAGAACAAGTAGTTTTTGTTTTTTTACTTTGCTGATCTGCATTTTTGTTTTGAGTTAGTAAGGCTGATTTGCTAAAGAAGTTCAGAATGTTATGTGGACATGCTCAATTCCTTTAATCAGCCTCAGCAACTCAATACACAGTAATATAATTATTGGCTCAGAATGATATTCAGGCAACTGGCATTTTCAGAAGGTGGTCAGCAATTGCACCACACATTTTTCTCATGACAGGTTTACCTTAATAATGCTGTTATAAAGAATGGATAACCATGATGTGTGTTGGCATTCTTATGGACCCCATATGCCATTCTTATGGCATTCTTATGGACCCCATATGCCATTCTTATGGCATTCTTATGGACCCCTCTGTTTCACCGATAGAAGTGTGATTCTATTCTCTATTTTCTATTTGTGCAGTCCTGAATGGGGCTCAGATGGGGGTAAGCAATGTGAATCCTTACAGTCTTCTCTATGAAATGTGTACCTAATCTAGAACAAGCATTATTTCCCCTGAAGTCTAAACGGTCTGAACACCTGTTCTATATATTATTCCAGGATAGTGACTCACCAAAGTTAGGGTAATGGCCCTAGTCCCTGCACATTTAAAATCATGTCACCACTGGCAACTTCCATATGTCTATCATACCCAGCTCCCTTTACAGTAATATGAGTACGTACAACCCTACAAGCATTGTGATAAAAATAAGGCCTCTGACTTAACCTCACTTAATTGGACGATTGCAACCTTTTTTTAGTTAGCAAGGTTTGACAGAATTTCAGCAAGTGAAAAACTACAAATCTAATGTAAAACTAATGTCTTCATTTATAATAGGTTACAAGGGATTCTTTTATTATAATATGTCATCTTAAATGTGTATAGCCTCACTAAAACTTCTCTGTCATGAATTTGATGAGGGAAACAATCTGAAACAAAAATTTGAATGCATTGATGTGGTATTTCTGCACTAACAAAAGCTTGATTGCGTTGAATAGGCCCCAGCTTAAGATGATGAATAGACTCAAACACTTTTAACACAAGTGAATGGCAAAGCAAATCAACAAAAAAATCAACAGGATATGTATGGCAGGTTTTTTCCCCCCATATATTCATCTGTGAAAGTAAAATGTTAGGAATAAAAGCATGTAGTTTATGTCAGAGAAAACTGACATGCTTCAGAAAGGTATTATGATTAAAAATCCATTTTGGTTCCATAGTAAAGCTAAAACGCAAAAAATGTATATTCTTTGAAAGATTGGAATTAAAATATAAAATATGAGCAGGAGGCTGTTGTGTTTTAGGTACATTGTTGGGTACTACAAGACTAACATCTGTCTATATAATATACTGTACTGGAATATGTATTGAATATACACATACATTCACCCCCCCCCCCCCCCCCCCCATGCAGAGTTATCCCCAAATGACAGGTATTCTAA